CAGATGCATAACCAATTGAGCCACCCAGGTTACCCTGTGACCTACTGTCTTGACTGCTATAATTCTAGTATCAGCAATCATAGTAGACGTTTGAGATTTATCGAACAAAAATATATATAAACCTATACATGAATAAAGATGAATGGATTCAGAGAATCAGAAAGTGTGAACCTTTTCTCTGGCTTTCCTTACCTAACTTCTATTAGCTGATGAAACAATGTTTCTTGTAATTAAACATATCTATTCTAACAAAGAATATTTTAGCTTTCAAACTCCTTTACATACATCATTTCTTCTCACAAAAGAATGGATCGGACTCATCATTTATAAAATGGAAAGGTTAAGGAAGCTTCAGAAAGTTTTTTTTTTTTTTTAGAGAATACAGTTTTTTTTTAATGTTTTATTTATTTCTAGGAGAGAGAGAGAGACAGCGTGAGCAGGGGAGGGTCAGAGAGAGAGGGAGACACAGACTCTGAAACAGGCTCCAGGCTCTGAGCTGGCAGTCAGTACAGAGCCCGACGCGGGGCTCGAACCCACGAACCGCGAGATCACGACCTAAGTGAAAGTCGGATGCTTAACCGACTAAGCCACCCAGGCGCCCCAGGAAACTTCAGAAAGTTAAGGAACCTGCTTGGTCATAGGCCTTTGTGAGTATGAAAAGAGTCTTTCTGCTAAAGAAACATGAAATTAAATGGGTCTCTCCTGAAACTAAGAAAAGGTGTATTTTGTTTGGAATGCTTCTCTTACTACACGATAAGCATCCTAGAGCCATTACTCAGCAGGTGAATACATCAGGGGAAATTCTGACTTAATGAACCAGTGACAGGAGTTTTAACAATGCTTATCTTTTGAACATGCCCCAAAAGCAGCATTTGTAGAGGTCAAAGACACTGAGTAGAATAGCACTCCCTTCACACCAGCTCTCAAGGGAAGCTTAAGGAATCAATGTCACACCCTACTTTGAACCCGCCTTCCCAAGGATGCAAAACTATCCAAGAAGAAGAGTGAGGGGGAGTACCAGGAAGAAAAAGAGAAAATGAAAAGAAGGCTGTTAAATCAGCCTCTTCCAAGTGTACCTTTTTGAACACCTTTGCCTCTAACAAGGGTGAAAGGCAAAATGAAGATCAAAGGATTGAGTAAGCAAGTTAAATGTGAGAGAGGGCTGATATATCCAGCTTGAAGTTCGAATCCCTAATCTGTCACTTGGTGTTTATTGGAGGTTGGGGAAGCTAACTGAACTTGCTGGGATCCATTTTCTTCACCTTCACTTGGTGCCAATCTTATCGAGATGAAGATTATGTGAGAAAAGTATTTTTTAAGGTTATATTTTATTTATTTATTTATTTATTTATTTATTTATTTATTTATTTATTTATTTATTGAGAGAGAGAGAGAAAGCAAGCAAGCAGGGGAGGGGCAGAGAGAGAGAGGGAAACAGAATATCAAGCAGGCTCTGTCAGCACAGAGCCCGATGTGGGGATGGAAATCATGAACCTGGAGATCATGACCTGACCCCCTGATCAAGAGGCAGAAGCTCAAGCAACTCAAGCACCCAGGCATAAAAGACTTCATACACTTCTTGGATGATTGTTAACCCTGAATAAACATAGGTCATGAGTTGACCGTATGCTGAATGTTTTCACATAAGATGGATGTACACAATGACAAATCTAAGACAAAGTGTCAGGTTGAGCATGGAACATCCAGCCAATGCACACTGAAGACATTTGAAGGAGCTAAGTGACTTTCAGTATTTCCTCTGTTTCCATATTTTCACGTCCTCCTGAATTTTCATGATGCTAGTCATTGAAGTCAATTTCCCTTCTCTGTTCTCCGTTAGGAGTCCAAAATGGCAATTCTCATTTGCCTTTGACAATCTGATGAAAGTACTGCTTTTCTAAAATTCTCTGAAAAGTGGCATTGTGCTGCTTTGATGAATCTGTTTCCAATTTCATTTAAATGCACTTGACAATGGGTGCTCTGACATGTCAGATGCAAAAAACTATAAGTTGTCTGGCAATGGCTGTCTTTTACTACCTGTGGTGATAAAAACATTTCTTCCTATGGTGATAAAAGGATATTTAACATTTCATGGTGTCAAATTACCTGTAGTTAAGTTCCTTTATGGGAAATTGCATAATAGGAAAAAGGAATGTTCTATAAGTTTTATAATAAACTAACTGAATCACCTCAGGAGAAAGTGCTTACTAACCAACAGATGGTTTGCAAACATAAATCTTTTACCAGAGACATCAGTGCTAACTGCCTGGCGCCAACATTTGCACTTGCTTCGGGGATCGATTTTCTTTATTTTATTTTTTAAACTAGGATTCAAAGGAATCTTTGTCTATACAATTTATTATCTAGACATCCATAATAAAAGTGTACGTAGGTTTTGCTCACAAGAATCACTTTTCAGAAGAGGGGGATCTATTTTTAATGGCTACAATTTCCTCATAATTTTCTATTATCATTTTAAATGTATCTTGACATTTATTTTCAAGGCAAAAACAGAGCTGAACCAGTGAAGTGCATTTCAGGATAGGCACAAATGAGAAACATGAGATAATGATAAACTCCAAATTATTTCATAGAAGAAATATTCTGGAACATACTATAAATAGACTTAAATATATACTTGGTTTGGGAAAGGCTTAAGTAAATGAAACCTGAATACACTTTAAAAGAAAAAATAGAAATTGAAAACAAACTTATTTTTATAACCAGTCCAAGGAGATTCAAATATCCATTTAAATATTAGGCTAGTACAAAAAAAAGAAAAAAAAAGTTCAGACAGAAATGTTCACAGAGTTCACTGATCAATCATCACATGTACATTCTTCCCCTAAAGCAACAATGTTGAATGCTACTCTTTCCACCTCTTGCTTGCTTCCCATAAACAATGAAGGGAAAGCACAATTGTTTTCCACTTTTCAAGAAACAGTTTCTGCATCTGAGGTTCCTTTTGAGGACAAAGTGCAGTTTTGCTTTTCAGAGACAGTTGTTCATTGTCATTTTTTCTAGAGCTTTTGGATCCAGAGAAAGAATGGGAAAGCACAGATTCAAACTTCCTGGCTTCAGGACATGAAGAATTTTTGCCATTTCTTATAACCCAACAGGTTTCAAGGATATCTTTTTCAGGTAACACTCTTTGCAGCCTTATTGTTCCTTAACTGAAGAAGGGTAACCACTCTCTTTCTTTCATAAAGACAACTGACGTCCCCAGTGAAGAAGCCATGACTACTATCAAATCGTCATCCTCAGACATGGAAGATTGTAAAACTTTTCTTCTCCATATAATTATTCCCCATCACTCCCTACTACCATGAGGGCTATGAGATCTTTTTTTAAAAATTTTTATTTCACTCAATGTTTTTATTTTGGTGGTGGGGAGTCAGCAGATATATTGTAGAAGAACTACACAATCTTTTTCAGAAGTCTTTCATGGAAAATTTGAAATGTGCGCTGAGTTGGGCTCAAGTTCTACCTTGGCTATTTTTTATTTCCTTAAAATGATTTACTGCTTTCTTTGTCAATATTCTGGTTTCTTTTCATTTTCTGTCACGGATGATAATTACTTGACACCATCACTTATTTGCATCATAATCATGATCATTAATTTGCCTCAACATTGTGAGAGGGGGGGAAAAATCACACAACTCCGTTTGTATATATATCAGGTTGGTGTTACATTATAAATAAACTTAGGGATAATTGATATCATTTGGATGTTAACTCTGCATATCCTAAAATACTGAGAGCACTGCCATTTTTTCAAGTCTCCCTTTGGCTTTTTGTTTCTTCAGAACAATTTTATTTTTTTTCACCTAACCCACTCTAGTTAAGCCTATTTGAAGGTATTGTATTTTACTCTGTGATTTTAAATGGGGTATATTTTTTAGTATGTTCTCTGGGGAGATAATTTGACACGTGAAGGTGATTGATTTATGTTAATTTTATGTATAGGTAAGCCCACAACCCTTGCTCTTTAAACATACTTAACTTTGTAATTGTATTAGTGAACACTTCAAATAAAATGAAAGTAGTAAAGGTATTAGTGACCATTTTTGTGTTTTTTATCATAGGAGGAATATCTCATTTTCCCCCCTCAATTGTGGGATTTTAAGTCAAGATAAAGATTGTATCATGTTAACAAAGTACTATCCAATTTTTATTGAGTCATTTGATCATCAAGAAAAGATGTTAAATTTGATGACACACATTTTTAGCATCTATGGAGATTTATCATGTGGGGTTTCTCTTTGGACATAATATGGTGAATTTTACGACTATCCTTCTTAATATTGAATAATACCTATCTTCTTGCAATCAATCCCACCCTGGGCCGAGGTATGGTCTTTGCCATGGCAGAGTTTCTTTACCTTTTCTCTTAGCTCACATATGTTCTTGGGTTATATCCATTCTGCAATTCAAGTTCTCTGTTGACTTGTTTTTTCCTATCACCTATATTATTTTTCAGATTTAGTAACAGATTGGAAGGTCTTATTTTTCTTGATTCATACTTTTGTTCTCATCCCCCATATTTATTTTCCCTCTTCCTCTAAATCAATAGGAACTGATTAAAATGGTCTATTTTATTGTCTTTTTTCAGTAATGGTTGCTCCGTAGAAACGTCTTTTAATGTTTTCTCTCTGAGTTCTTTTTCTCCTGCAGAAATGGGCTCATGAGATCAGAGAGGGGCAAGACGGTGGAGAAGTAGGCAGCTCCGTCCATTGCACTCGCCCCCATACCTCACACGGTAAAGATCTGAAGCCATAGGAAACCTTACGGAACCCAAGAGATTGGGAGAAAAAGGGCACAGAATCCACTGAGAAGGCCTTCTAACGTGAGTGCAAAGCGGGGAAGATAAAATCGAGCCGGGATCGGAGACTTCAGGGAGGGGAGATCCCTCTCTGCGGGGAGTGAGAGGGGGAAAAAGAGAGAGTCCGAAGGAGAAAAACCTCCGCTCGGGGCACAGAAAGACCGTGGTCGCCAAATACCTGCATGCCAGGCCCCCGCGCGCCAACTCCTCCCGGAGACACTGCGCGCGAGGACCGCTTCTTTGAGCTCCTGGCTGGCTGGACTCCTAGAGAAGCTGCACGCCTGCCGCGCCATTGTGCCCCTGGCTGGCTGGACTCTAGAGGGAAGGCGAAGAGCTTCAAACCTGGAGATTTGCCCGCGAGTTCGTATTTCGGGTGAGGAGACACAGAGTGACCTGGTTTCCCTCTCCCCAGTGGACTCAGCGCGCCCGGCAGGCAAGCTCCCCTCCCCCATGCTCGCCAGCCCGACCCGGAGGAGAAGCGAGCATCGATTCTGGCTCCATCCCCAGAGCTAGGCGGGAGGCTTGGAATTGCCCCAAGGGGACGCCTGCGAAGTTGTGTCTATGGCAATTTCAGTGGGGTGCATGGACTGGAATTTGGAGGCTGGGACTAGCCTGGGTTGAAGAGTGCAACCAACTTTGGCTGCGCTCCCGGTATGGGGAGTTTACACGCCCAGAAAAGCGAGGTCCAGTGCTTGGTTCCAGAAGGGACTGGAGCTCTGCCACTCTCCTCCCCACAACCGCCAAGGCTGAACTCCCCCCCCGCCCCCGCCTGATACATTGGATCACACCACGCCCATCCCTGCTTGAGAGCGGCCCTCCTCCCCTTTTTCCCCCCTTTTTCTGGTTTCTTCTTCTTCTTCCTCCTCCTCCTCCTCTTCTTCTTCTTCTTCTTCTCTTTCTTTTCTTTCTTTCTTCCCCAGAACACTGACCTGATTAACTCTGGTCACCGGCTTGCTTAAACAATCACATTTCGTCCATTATGTAGATGTAAATTCTACACCTACCGACCTTTTCATGTCTTTCTCTAGGAGTAATCAGACTACATAGTTTCTCTGGATAACACCAGCATCCTTCTCTCCCCTATCCAACCATATTCCACCCTTTAGCTCTTTGGAAAAAGCTTCTTATCCCTTCTGCCTGTTCATTCTATTTCCAATTTTGCCTCATCCACACCCAGTCTTCTCTCTCTTTCTCTATGCACTTCAACCAGCAATGCATACACAAGACTATTTAAATGTAGCTGGGAAATCCGGTTATATGCTTTAAACCTTTCTTGTCCATCGGTTTTCTTCCTTTTTCCTTTTCTTTTCTCCTTTTTGACCTTTTTACATATTGTTTTATTTTCTACTATTCGCCTTCCCTCCTCCGTCTTTTCTCTTATGTTTTTCGTTTTCTCTCTCAGTTTGCATGTTAGTTGGATTTGTCTGTGCGTTTGTGTGCCTCTGCTCCCTGTGTGTTTGTCTCTCTGTTTTCGTCTCCAGGGCTACCTCAAGAAACAAGCCAAAGTACACTTGGTGGAGAGTCCCAAATATCACTACGAGTAGGAAAATTAAATAACCAAGGTCTAAACAAGAGAGACCAAGAGATACCATTCACAACACACCCTCCGAAAGGATAGGCCCTGGACAGTCAAAGAGTCTTCTTGGATACAGCTGAACTCAGAGGTGCAGAGACCATAACAAGTATTTAAAACTAACAAGAGCCAGAAAGCTAACTAAAATGACAAAACGAAAAAGCTCTCCTCCAAAGAAATTCCAAGAAGAATTGACAGCTAATGAACTGCTCAAAGCACATATAAACAGCATAACTGAACAAGATATTAGAACAATAATCATAAAATTAATAGCTGGGCTGGAAAAAGCATACGGGACATCAAAGAAACTATGGCTACAAGCAACATGGAGAATAAAAATAGGCATGATGAATTAAAAAATGCGATAAATGAGATACATAATAAATTGGAGGCCTCCAATGCACAGATTGAAGAGGCATAAAGGAGAATAAGCGATTTAGAAGACACCATTATAGAAAAACAAGAAGCTGATAAAAAAAGAGACAAACTGATCCAGGAACATGAAAGAAGAGTTTGAGAGCTCAGGTATACCGTCAAACGCAACAATATCCGTATCATAGGAATCCCAGAAGAAGAAGAGAGAGGGAAAGGTGCTGAAGGAGTCCTGGAACAAATTATAGTAGAGAATTTCCCCAACCTGTGGAAGGAAGTAAACGTTGTAATACAAGAGGCTCAGAGGACGCCCCTCAGACAGAATTTGAATCGATCTTCTGCACGGCATATCATAGTGAAACTGACAAAATGTAAGGACAAAGAGAGAATTCTGAAAGCAGCTAGGGAGCAAAGGGCCCTAACATACAATGGGAAACCTATCAGAGTGGTGACAGACCTATATACTGAAACATGGCAGGCCAGAAAGGAATGGCAAGAGATCTTCGATGTGATGAACAAAAATATGCAGCCAAGAATCCTCTATCCAGAAAGCCTGTCATTCAAAATAGAAGGAGAGATAAAAGTCGTCTTTCCAAATAAACAGTAATTGAAAGAATTTGTCACCACTAAGCCAGCCCTACACGAAATCCTGAGGGGGATGCTCTGAAGGAAATGTTGCAAAAAAGAAAGGTACCAGGGACACCACCACAAACATGAACCCCACAAAGGACACAAAGATTCTAAACCCACGTATCTCAATAATAACACGGAATGTAAATGGGCTGAATGCTACAATCAAAAGACATAGGGTAGCAGAATGGATAGAAAAACAAAATCCATCTATACGCTGTTGACAAGAAACTCATCTTAGACTGGAAGATACCTTCAGATTAAAAGTAAGGGGATAGAGAAAAATATATCATGCTACTGGAAATCAAAAGAAAGCTGGAGTAGCTATACTTATATCAGACAAACTGGACTTTAAATTAAAGACAATAACAAGAGATGAAGAAGGGCATTGCGTAATAATTACAGGGTCTATCCATCAGGAAGAACTAACCATCATAAGTGTCTATACACCAAATATGGGAGCACCTAAATATTTAAAACAATCACAAACAGAAACAAGCTTAGAAATAAGAATGTGCTAATAGCAGGGGGCTTTAATACTCCACTTACAGCAATGGATAGGTCAACCAGACAGAAAATCACTAAAGAAATAATGGACATGAAAGACACATTGAACCAGGTGGATCTGACAGATATATATAGAACTCTACATTCTGAGGCCCGGGAATTCACTTTCTTCTCAAGTGCGCATTGCACATTCTCCAAGACAGATCATATACTGGGACATAAAGCAGCCCTCAATAAATATAAAAGAATTGAGATCCTACCATGTACACGTTCAGATCATAATGCTTTGAAACTTGAAATTGATCACAGGAAGAAGTCTGGAAAACCTCCAAAACATGGAGGTTAAAGAACACCCTACTAAAGAATGAATGGGCTAATCAGGCAATGAGAGAAGAAATTAAAAAATATATGGAAACAAATGAAAATGAAAACACAACAATCCAAAATCTATGTGATGAATTAAAGGCAGTCTTAATAGGAAAGTACATTGTACTCCAGGCCTATTTCAAGAGATTAGAAAAAGCGCAAGTGCAAAATCTAACAGCTCACCTAAAGGAACTAGAGGCAGAGCAACAAGAACGCCCTAAACCCAGTAGAGAAGAGAAAAAGTAAATATCAGAGCAGAAATAAACAACATAAAGACCAAAGAAACAAATGAACAGATCAAAGAAACCAAGAGTTGGTTTTTTGAATAAATAAACCAAATTGACAAACCTCTAGATAGACTTATCAAAAAGAAAAGAGAGAGCACCCAAATAGACAACATTATGAATGAAAATGGACTTACTACAACCAACTCCTCAGAAATACAAGCAATTATCAGGGAATACTATGAAAAATTATATGCCAACAAATTGGACAACTCAGAAGAAATGGACAAATTCCTAAACACACACTCACTATCAAAATTCACACGGGAAGAAATAGAAAATCAGAACAGACCCAGACGAGTGAAGAAATTGAATCAGTCATCAAAATTCTCCCAACAAATAAGAGCCCTGGACCTGATGGTTTCCCTGGGGAATTCTACCAGACATTTCAAACAGAATTAATCCCAATTCTTCTCAAGCTATTCCAAAAAATGGAAATCGAAGGAAAACTCCCTGATTCATTTTATGAAGCCAGCATCACTCTGATTCCCAAGCCAGACAGGGATCCAGCAAAAAAAAGAGAACTACAGGCCAATATCCTTGATGAATATGGAAGCAAAAATCCTCAACAAGATCCTTGCAAATCGAATCCAGCAGCACATAAAAAGAATCATCCACCAAGATCGAGTGGGATTCATTCCTGGGTTACAGGGCTGGTTCAACATTCGCAAATCAATCAAGGTGATACATCACATCAATAAAAGAAAAGATAAAAACCATATGATCCTGTCGATAGATGCAGAAAAAGCATTTGACAAAATACAGCATCCCTTCTTAATAAAGACTCTAGAGAAAGTCGGGATAGAAGGAACCTACTTAAACATCATCCAAGCCATCTATGAGAAGCCCTCAGCTAACATCATCCTTAACAGGGAACAACTGAGAGCTTTCCCCCTGAGATCAGGAACACGACAGGGATGTCCACTCTCACCACTGTTGTTTAACATAGTGTTGAAAGTCCTAGCATCAGCTCTCAG